GTGTGTGTGTGTGTGTGTGTGTGTGTATTCTTTTTCAGATTCTTTCCCCTTATACAAAATATTGAGTATATGTCATTTTTTTTTGTGGTACGGGGGCCTCTCACTGTTGTGGCCCCTCCTGTTGCGGAGCACAGGCTCCGGACGCGCAGGCTCAGCGGCCATGGCTCACGGGCCCAGTCGCTCCGCGGCATGTGGGATCTTCCCGGACCGGGGCAGGAACCCGTGTCCCCTGCATCGGCAGGTGGACTCTCAACCACTGCGCCACCAGGGAAGCCCTATGTCATTGTTTTAACTGGACTTAATTCAGATGTGAAGGGCTGGTGAGCCTGGCTTTATTCCCCTTTGTTTATTCATCAGGTAGAAAAACAGGGGGCTCTTTTCTCCCCTGGGTCCTATGCTAAACTTCCGTCTCTGTTCCTGAAAAGCCAATTTCAGGACAAGCTTTAGACCTGGAGAGAAAGGTGGAATGCCATCAGATTTATCCTGATATTTATCCTGTTTTTATGATCTCCCAGTGTTTCATTAAGATACCTGTGGGCATCTTTGTCTGTAAACTTCCTAGGGTCAGCGTAGGGTGTTAGATAGGTGATGGAGAAAAGAGGTGAAGGACGACGAAGGGAGAATTCTACAGGGTCCGGTCCCCGACCTGCCCTCATCTTTTTTCCATCCAACCTTCCCCACCCACTGACCCCACGTCAACCGTTACAAAAGATGATCCTGTACTTGTTAACTAGAGAGGCTCCCATGTTACACGTCAGTTAAAGAAAATGGCTCCACTGGGGAATGAAGCAAGTGTTTGATGAGCACTGTGGTGAAGCCTGTGGATTGACTTTGTCTCGTTTTCTAGGCTCAGGTACATGCCAGTTTGAAACGAAATGCGGCCCAGGACAGGACTGCTGCTTTCTCCCAGGACCCACTTCGCCCAGGTATGACACAGCTGCCCCTGGTCTTGGGACGGGCCTGTCTAGGTGTTCACAACTAGATTTGCTGTGCTGAGCTCCCACTTAAATAGGGCAATAATGTCTCAGAAACAAATGATAAGGAACACCCAATTTCAAGGTAAACAGCTGAAGTCTGTTTGCTTTTTATTTTATTTTTAATTTTTGGCTGCGTTGGGTCTTTGTTGCTGTGCGTGGGCTTTCTCTAGTTGCAGCAAGTGGGGGCTACTCTTCGTTGCGGTGCGTGGGCATCTCATTGTGGTGGCTTCTCTTGTTGCGGAGCACGGGCTCTAGGCGCATGGGCTTCAGTAGTGTGGCATGCGGGCTCAGTAGTTGTGGCACGCGAGCTCTAGAGCGCAGGCTCAGTGGTTGTGGCGCACGGCCTTAGTTGCTCCGCCACCACGTGGGATCTTCCTGGGCCAGGGCTCGAACCTGTGTCCCTTGCATTGGCAGGCGGATTCCCAACCACTGCGCCACCAGGGAAGCGCCGGAAGTTTGTTTGCTTTAATTGCAAACTGCTACAGATCATTAAAAGCTGCAGGTGATCAGTTCAGTACTGCTGCAAGCATTTAGGGTATTTTCCTTATTGTTACTCTTCTGAGGCATGCTGAGACTAAATCTAGGTCTGGGTCACTATCCTGCCTGGTACTTAGCAGGCCCTCTGATGGGAAGACTCGCATCTGTCCCCAGTGCTGTGAACGGCCTTGAATCATCTCTTAGGTCATCTTTCTCCTCCACTGGCCTTATTCTCTTTCTGAGATGCTAATTCGATGACTGCTGGCCCCTTGAACATTTCCCCGAAGCCTCTTAACCTAAAGAGCTACCTTCTTTGTTGCGTTACTTGGTGGGGCAGAGCGCCTGAGGACCCCAGCTGACCGCAGCGGGATCCAGTCCGTGTCTGTGGGTGAGTGGACAGCACCTGACATAGGATTTCCTTTCATCTCCATGGTAGCAACTGCTTCTTGAATTACCATTCTCCCAGCTAGTAGTGCATACATGCATCTCCTTTTATACAGAAGAAAAACACCCTTTTAAGGCACTGAGTTCCTTTTCATCTCCAGCAGGCCCTGGAAACCATGGAGGAATGTGGATAAGAGATGTTGAAAAAAAAGAGGAGACTCAGTCGGATCAGCAGACACGCCAGGAAGAGTGTCTTGAGGTTCATCCAAGGGCCCCGTGGAAATTGTTTGGGAGACAGCTGGTGCTGCGGTGAGGGCTTCTGCTCTTTGGGGTCATTGTCATCTTGCTGGTGGGGATTTTAGTGAGAGTCTATGTCAGAATTCAGTGATGTGGCGAGACAGAGAGAGAGGGAGAGGGAGAGGGAGAGGGAGAGGGAGAGGGAGAGGGAGGGGGGGCGGAGAGAGAGTAGGCCAAGGGATGCTTCTGACCTTACCAACAAAAATTCATTGGCCTAAAAAAAAAAAAAAAAAAAAAAATTCATTGGCCTAAAGGTGGCAGTTCGTTTTCAGTTAACATTATTCAGCTGTGCCCATGGAGGTCAAGAACTGAGAGTTCCAAGATATATTTTCTGATGAAGAAAAGGAAGGAAGGTAAAAAGTACGTTTTAGTCCAAAACAACATCTGGAAGATTACATCCACCACCATGTCAACCGAAGACCTGTGTACGGATGCATCGATGTATGGCTTTGTATATTTCTTCTGCTTACTGTTTTTTGTTTTAGACAAACCCATATACCAAGGACTTAAGGATTCTTACTATGTGAATTTTTTTTTTTTTTTTTTTGCGGTGGGCGGGGGTCTCACTGTTGTGGCCTCTCCCTTTGCGGAGCACAGGCTCCGGACGCGCAGGCTCAGCGGCCATGGCTCACAGGCCCAGCTGCTCCGCGGCATGTGGGATCTTCCCGGACCGGGGCACGAACCCACGTTCCCTGCATCGGCAGGCGGACTCTCAACCACTGCGCCACCAGGGAAGCCCACTATGTGGATTATTTAAAATACATTTTACAATATATCTTCCCTTAGATTATTATTCAGCGGGAAACATTTGTTAATATTCATTTGGTACCAAGGGTAGTAGACATGCTTAAGGAACTTAAAAGGGGAGAAGACAGATTACCAAGAAGAAAGGAGTCAGGGGGCATCAATTAGCATGCTTCCTGTCAAGGGCCTGTCTTAACACGGGTTTGGATTGACATGCTGGCAGGCGCAGGGAGGAATGAAGGACCAGCGCTTTGTTTTTGAGTGGTGGGCATCCCACGGAGAGAAATACAGGCTTCGAAGAGCTAACCCAGGCAAACTGGAGGGAAAAATCAGACCCTTTCTTATTTTGATAGAAGGAAGGGTTGATAAAGTTGGAAGGCAGCAAAAATGAAGAGTGTTCTAGGAGAGGGGAGGATGGGGTCCTGGGCAGGCCCTATTCGTCTTGTTTGGGCCTGTCCTCGTCTTAAAAAAGCTGCAGGCTTTTAGTGGCAGAGACGCGGTATATCCAGAAGGTTTTTGTCCGCCGACCCCTCAAAAAGATGAGGTCTTAATGAATGCGCTCTTCTCCTTGGCCTTGGCAATTATTGGGAAAGTCTTTGGAGCTGTGAAAATCCAATCACTGCTAACTCATCTTGGCGGGTGGGAGGGCGAGTCAACAGCGGCCTTGGATTAAGGGGTCATTCTTGCATGCCGCCTTGCCGGGCTAGCTCCACGCTGTTCGCTTAGCAAGCCTTCCTACCTACTAAGTACGCTGCGTTCTGGGGTGGATACAAACTGCTAGGTGTGCCGAACAGATAATGGAAAAAATGAGAAAAGGCAGCTCCTCTGAGTGAAAAACACCCCAGGGCAGATTTCGGCGGGGGTGGGTGGGTGGAGGTACTCCCTTAAGGCATCTCCACCCTCAGCGCTTCGTTCCTCTTGGGTCAGTTAAGTGGAGGGTCACCTTCCAGGGACCAAGACGAAGGCTGCACCCAAGGTGGCCCTCGCGGTGGGGCCCCAGCAAAGCCCCAGTCCCGGCTTTTCGTTCCCTCTCCACCGGGCACGGGGGCTTGTCCTACCCGCTGCAAATTGCGGGCGGCAGGGAGCGCAACCCCCCGGGGAGTAAATTCTTTGACCCAGCCTGGGGGGAGACATCACCCGGAAACCAGCGAA